CCGGGGCACGCGCCCTCGTCCTCTCGCCCACCCGTGAGCTGGCCCTGCAGACCCTCAAGTTCACCAAGGAGGTACGGGGGACATTGGGGACAACAGGGGCGAGTGGGGACAATGGGGCCAAGGGGTTTGGTTTTAACCCCCCCAACGCGTTTCTTTCTCACCCCACGCAGCTGGGCAAGTTCACGGGCTTGAAGACAGCCCTGATCCTGGGAGGAGACAAGTAAGCTGTCCCCATGTCCCCACGTCCCCGCTTCCCTAAAGCCTCCCCAAAACCCGGCGAGGGGCCGAGCTGCCCCATGCCACCCCAGCCTCTCCCCCCTCTCGCAGGATGGAGGACCAGTTCGCTGCCCTGCACGAGAACCCCGACATGTGAGTGGGGACGTGGGGAGGGGACGCGGTGGGGAAGTGACCCTTGAGAGCCACCAGCTGTCCAGGGACACCACTGGTGTTGGCAGCCAGCACACCCGCTGGATGTGACCCCGTGGGGCATCTTCCTGTGCTCCCCACGGGGGACGAGGGGTCTCTGTCAGATCTTCTTTGGGACCTGCACCCGGGAGGGTGTGGGGACACCGTCCCTTGTTCCCCGGCCCTGTCACCAGCTCTGTCCCCGCAGAATCATTGCCACCCCTGGGCGGCTGGTGCATGTGGCGGTGGAGATGAAGCTGAAGCTGCACACCGTGGAGTACGTCGTGTTCGACGAGGCCGACAGGTCAGCGGGGGGCAGAGGGGTCCCTGGGGCTGGCAGTGTCCCCACATGTGGGGTGACCGATGGTGGGAATGAGGAGCCCCGGGGGGTGGCAGGGCTGGGCACAGAGGGACCGAAGAGGCGCTGACATGTCCCATGTCCCCTCCTCTGCAGGCTCTTCGAGATGGGCTTCGCTGAGCAGCTCCAGGAGATCATCGCCCGGCTCCCCGACTGCCACCAGACCGTCCTCTTCTCCGCCACAGCACAGTCCCTGGGGATGGGGACACAACACGGTCCCTGGGGATGGGGACACAACACGGTCCCTGAGATGGGGACACAGCACAGTCCCTGGGATGGGGACACAGCACGGTCCCTGGGACAGGGACACAGCACAGTCCCTGGGGATGGGGACACAACACGGTCCCTGGGGATGGGGACACAACACGGTCCCTGAGATGGGGACACAGCACAGTCCCTGGGATGGGGACACAGCACGGTCCCTGGGGATGGGGACACAGCACGGTCCCTGTGATGGGGACACAGCAGCTGGGCTGGGCCCGGGACTGGTGAAACCGAGCTGGGCTGAGGCTGGGCCAAGCGAGGGTCCCCAGGCTGAGGGGTGGGGCTGGTCCCATCCCACGTGTGACCCCCATCCTGTGTGTCACTGGGTCCCACAGGCCTGACGGAGCCGATGCTGATCCGCCTGGATGTGGAGTCCAAGCTCAGCGAGCAGCTCAAGGTGAGAGGGGCCGAGGGGTCTCCAGACGGGCTTTGTGCCCCCCAGCCCCTGCCAGGCTGGTGAGGCGGGGACAAGCGATGGCTGGCGTGGGGACAGAGGCGCTGAGCCGTGCCCTCCGGTTGCAGCTGGCGTTCTTCCACGTGCGCGGGGACGACAAACCAGCCGTGCTGCTGCACCTGCTGCGCAGCGTGGTGAAGCCCCAGGACCAGACCGTCGTCTTCGTGGCCACCAAACACCACACGGAGTATCTCAAGGAGGCAAGTGGCATTTGGGGGTGCCCGAGTCCCCTTTCCAGACCCACGTGGGGTGCGCATCCGTGGGCACGTCCTTGCTGGAGTGTCCACCTCTGTTTCTCTGGGTTGAGGGAGAAATCCCAGCCCATGGGATCATGGAGGTGCTGTGTCCACCTGCCCCTCGGGATTTGGGGGTCCAGGTGGGCACGCTGGGGTCTTGGGCACCTGTCCCTTGGCCAAGGGTGGGATCTGATCCCTCTCCCCCCTTCCCCAGCTGCTGACGGCGCAGGGCATTCGCTGCACGCACATCTACAGCTCTCTGGACCAGACCGCCCGCAAGATCAACATCGCCAAGTTCTCCCAGGGCAAGTGTCCCGTGCTGCTGGTCACCGACGTGGCTGCCCGCGGGCTGGACATCCCCATGCTGGACAATGTCATCAACTACAGCTTCCCCGCCAAAGCCAAGCTCTTCCTGCACCGCGTCGGTGGGTGACAGTGCCCCACACCGGGGTCCTCGCAACCTGGGCGTCCTTTGGGGTGACAGGGAGGTCCCTTGTCCCCTGTTTTTCCCTGTGCCCTGCTGGGCTGGTGCTGGTGCCCCGACTTGGTGGTGATAGCTCAGGGGCAGGAGATTGCCATGTTGTGATGATCTGGGGACAAAGCAGGGGCAGGAATGTCCCTGACCTCCCAGCTAGACTGTGGGGGCTCTTGGGGACAGGGCTGGTGCCTTCCCTTTGGGGTGGCACCATGCTGGGCTCCCCTTTGCCCCCTTCCCCAGTGACCCGCAGCCCCGTGTCAGCTGTGCCCCTGGCTATCGTCACATGCGTGGGCTCCCAGGGACAGCCGCGGGTCCCTGCCCGGTGGGAGCAGGCTGGGCTGGCGCTGG